CACCAGGGTTTTGTCAGTAAAGATTGCAGCCTAGAAAATCCTATGGGGCACTTCAACTCTGTTGCATTGAGTTCTGAGTTGAGAATAAATTTGAGGGCACCCAACAACAGTAACAACAAATAAATATACAAATAAATAATATCATAAAGTCAGTACAGCATACAGAAGGTGAATCATAATGTTCCATGCTAAAAACATTTCACTACTCCATACAGTAGATTTTTAAGAGCACTTTTATATATAGCCTGAATTCCTTTGGTCCCATACTCCTTATCTTGGCCCTTGTGGACAGAGTAACTAAAATTGCTCATCAGCATTCTCTACTGTTGCTTTGCCAGCTGTAAGCATAATCCTCCCTTTCTGTACTTTCTTGTTTAGAGAACCAGTACTAGAAGTCTCTAGGTCAGAAGACCTGGTCATACTGATTTTTGGTACTATGTAGTTACACTGGCAGTAAGAAAAACAATATTATTTCAGTCACTCTGGTATTATTTCAGTCATTCTGTGGATTCAAGTTAGCAGAGATTCTTAACAATAAGATTTACCAATCAATAACAATGTTTGAAATCAAGTTTTCTCTGCTGGTCTGAGAAACTAAAAACAGGATTGTAAAATGGCTTAAATTCCATTTCTCATCATTGCACTATGAGACCTAATTCTAGCGAGAAGAGGGCAGAGGGGTGACGCCATCAAAGGGACTGGGGAGGAGTTCATTACAGTAGCCCAGGCAGGGGAGTCCCTGGGTGGCATAGATGGTTAAGTGCTTGGCCTGTCAATCTACTTCTGAAAGATCACAGACAGTGAAAACCCTGTGGAGCACACTTCTACCCTGACACACATGAGGTCACCAGGAATTGGAATCTACTCAGTGGCAACTGCTAGTCCAGGCAGAAGGTGAAGATGGTTTGGGCTACCTGTCTTGTAGGGATGTGGAAGTTTGAAGGCATGTTTTGGCGGGCGTGTCCCCCTGACTTCCTGAGGGATTGCATGTGGTGCACTTTGAGAGAGAATGCTAGGATCATCCTAATTTTTTGGCAAGATAGACAGTGGTGCTATTTACTGGAATAGGAGGTGTGAGGAGGGGAAACTGAAGAGTTCCGGATACCTATTAGATATCCACGTGGACATGTCAACTAGGCAGTTAGGTATGTTTGGGGGACATCCAGGAGAGATACAGGTTTGTCAGTTA